TCAGCTTGAAAACCCTGTTTGCTGTACAGTTACACTGCACTGACACCAGGCGACTGTCTGTTAATGTAGTAGTGAAAATAATATTAGACTGTTTAAAATTTCATGTCTGTTCCCATTTGAATAATCAGCAGGTTTGTTGCTGACTTTACAAACAGGCAGATTTCCAACTTAATAATCATTCTAAAGATCAAAGACCATCCTAATTAAGTGGCTTTGTTGCACAGAATGTCTTGGTTATTGTTACCATTTGTCACCTTCTCAGAAAAAGACATCAGCAGAGGAGTCCTGAGAGTGTTCCAAACCAGCAACATTTACCAATCCCGTACATAGCTGCGGACCTGGAGCAAAGGACCAAACACTCGCAGCAGCACTGACAAGCAGGGTTGTCAGGAGTAAAGAAAATGGTCTTGTTTGGATGGGTGTAAGCCCAGACCTAAGTAAAAGGCTCTTCACAGTTCTCTTACACTTCTCTTTCCTGCTCTTGCCTCCCTTCAGCAGTTAAGGGTAGAGTGTTAATAGTTTTTAGGAAGTTTCCAAATCCTGATGCTGTAATGGGCCGGAGTTCTAGTGTTAAACTGCTTTTATAAATAAATTCCTGTGCGTGGAACGCTTTTTGTAGTGAAGGAGATCATGTTAATGTTCAGCTGTTGGTGTGACCCAGGTTCCCCCCTCCCCAGCTTAGAGTTCAGGTCTCTGTGTATGGAACATCATCAAACCCCTCCACAATACGGCATTTTTGTCTCTGGAGTTGTTTTCATGCAGTTTGAGCTGGTTTATTAGTTACTCTGATGCTGCTCATGTGAAGCTGTTCCTGGGCAATGAATATGTGTAAATCTTGTGATTTTAAAAATATGCAAAATTGAATTTCAGATGCAGCAGTGTAAACCCCAGTGAGTAGTAAATCAATGTTTCTTGAGAACATTATGATCTAAATTTTGTGAGACTTGTAACAGGTAAAACCAATTCATTTTCTTCTGCTCCCCTCCTTTCAAAATATAGTCAAATAATACTTCCACGTAGAGTTCGTGACCATTCATCGTAACAACATCGATGAATGTGTCTGAGACCCTAGTGCTTCTAAGATGCAAACATTCAACAAGAGCTGTAAAGCACCCTGAAGGCAGGACATACACATTGTGTACACAGTGCGGGTCCATTCAAACCAAACACTACAAATACTAAGCCATTGCCTTTTGAAGTTGACTCTTACCTGTGCGTTTATCTTCTATCAAGCAAGCATCGTCTCACTTTTTTGTTTGAAGCCGTAGGAAGACAGACTCTGTGCTGAAAGTCAAGCAGCTTAAAATGGCTCGTTTCACGTTGCAGTAGGTTTCTGCAGCTGAAGAGGAAGTTTACCAACACTTGCTACAGGAAGCGAGTAGCGAGATTGCCGAGAGCCTACTCAGAGTTTGCTTTATGAGCAAACTCCTCAGCTCTGTTGTTTTTACAAAACTCAAATATTTAGATGTTTGTGGCTTTTGTCTGGTATGTGCATGTTACTTAGAAATCAGTAAATGCTTGTTTGCCTGTCTTTGTTGAAAATAGTTCTAGTTCTGTGTGAGTCAAAAATTAGGCAAGTTTGGATTGGATTTGAATCTGGCTGATCTGATTTCAGAGGTGGGTTTGGTGTGCTGTCATGCTCATTAGTGGAAAAGCAACCTTGGGTTTGTTACAGTGAGTCATAGAAGAAAGGTAACTGATGGCAGGATGCTGGCGTGCTCACGCATCTTCATTTGTGCAGTTGCATTGAAAGGCAGATACCTACAGACCTCCCCCTTCTCCTGCCCCCACCCTCCACGTTACCCTGCACAGCTTTGGTACCCGCTGCTGTCAGTAACGCATTACCCAGGCTGCTTTCCTTTGTCTCCGTGAGCATTTCTGCCCAGAGAGGCTGCCTGGCAAAAAGAACCCGCACAGATCCCTCCTCACGGCATTTTGAAAGTGTGTTCTGGCTGTTCCAAGTACCTACTGCCAGAACCTTCTGCAGCTTCTTCATCCCCTCCTGCTTTTCCTGTTGTGCCTCTCTTCTGCTTGCACTAGTTCTCTTTTTCGGACTCTCCCTGCCCCTGCAGCAAGCACCAGTCCTGCTCCCGTACTCGCACTGTAACTCGTGGTTTCTTCTGCGAGTCCTTCATCTCATCCCCATTCTCTTCAGCCTCCACCGTCTCTGCCTGTCTCTTGCCACAGCTCCCACCTCACTGGCAGCTCTTTTTCCTTCCAGGGCTTCCTTCCTCCCTTCCACTGATACGATCGCGGTTCTTTCCTTTTTTGCCTGCTCTTTTCGGGACACTGCTGGCTCACCCGTTACACCCGGTGTCCCTGTGTGCAGGCGGGCTGACCTCGTGCAGACCCGCTCTCCCAGTTTGGTCCTGTCTCCTTCCTAGCTGTGAGCAGTTTCACAGCAGCCTAGATTCTCGTGTTTGCTCTCTCTGATTCTGCTTTTAGCGCTTGCCCAGCCCCTGCTGTTGCCTCCTGTGCTGGGGGTGGTGTTGGGGACAGGAGGGGTAACTGCAGTGCAGCACCCCCGGCTCTGTTCCAGTGGGAGATGTTCTCGGTTCAGCTCCTCTCAGTTGCAGGTTGTCACCACCCATCTGTCACAGTTTGCCCTGATTCTTCTCCTGGTCTTTCTCCTCGTGTTTTAGGACTGCCTGACATCATCCCCCCGTCCTCCCGTTCTGCTTCTCGGCTGTGCTGCGCCTCCTCCCTGTGAGCTCGGGGGTCTGAGCGTGGGATTGACGGCAGATTCCCGGGGGAGGGACTGTTCCCATCTCCAATGAATCTATTTTCTAGTGACTCCCAGTTCTGGGCCAAACTTGAAACTGCTTCTGACCTTACCCTACCCACACCACCTTTGACATGGGCAGTTGCTTTTCTGAGATCTTGTGCTCCCTTGGCTTCCGTGATACCATCATCTCGCTTCTCTGGTGCTCCTTCACCTGTGGGGGTGTGTCTGTGATGCAGGAAATCACAGCTACTGATCAGAGACCTTTACTGACCTTCTGCAAAGGTTACAGGAATATAATATTCCAACACGCCTTGTGTCATATTTTTTGTTATATTTTGATTTAGAGAAATAGTATCACGTAAGTTAATGAAAAGCTGGTGTTGCTAGTTTATTGGGGGTAACAAATGGAAATAGTTCTCGGGGTCTAACATGTGATACAAATTCCACATATTCATACCCAAAGTCAAAACACAATAAATATGATTCAAATCTCAGTCTGGTTCAAAAGCAATTGAACTGGCTTAAGAAGTTCTTGACAGAAAAAGCTGAAAGGGCATTTTGAGAAAGACTGGTTCCTGACTCAGTAATTGCCTCAAAGTTGTGACTGAGGTGTGGTTTCTTAAAGCAGCACCCTGGATGTGCCTGGGCAGCCCCCCGGGAGGGGGTTTTTGCCGGACTGATGGTCTTTTCTTCTTTTTCCTCCCAGTGATCTTTGAGAAAGGGCAAACCTCTGTCCTTCTGTTTTGTCCTGTTTAGCTCCTGTCACCACGATTTATAGTCAAAGGAGTAAAACCGGTCTTGACACTATTTATCAAAAGCTCTTTGCTACAATCGTATTCCCTTCTAGATCTGCGGGTTGCTACAGCATTCCCACTCTGTCATAAAAAGAAAAACCCCAAGATCTGAATTTATCTTCCCTGTGTTAAAATTCATGTTGTTATTTGAAAGCTAAGTTTTTGCCTCATCTTAGTGACGTAAGAAAGGCAAGAGATGACTTTTTACCCGAGTGTGAATTAAATCTCAATTACAAAATTGGTTAAAATGGGTTTGTGTGGCTTTGTTTCTTTGTTTTCCTGTTCATCGTCTATTTCTTTAGTGAGTTTCTCGGTACTTTCATCTTTGGTTTTCCTCTGGATCGCAGCATCTCTCCCTGATACCAAGTCCTGCATTGTCATCTCAGCCCCAGCTGTCTCCTTGGGCATCCTCTGCCACGTTCCTGCTGCCGTTGGCCATAGGCTGTTGGGAGCCAGAATATCGCCGTTGCTCCGGGGCCTGCGTTTTCCTCGCTGTGTTTTTTTGAGATATGCCATTTTGTTTGCTATGACGACGGTCGACAGAAATAAGAAGGTGCAGATGAGCACAAGTACCGTGATTATAATGAAGCAGATCAGTACGAGAGACTTATTGTCCTCACAGGTTTCTGCTGGCGTTGTGCTCTGGGGTTTGCTGCTGTTCCTGGGTCCTGCGGTGGCAGGAGCAGCCCTTCGGGTGGGGGACGGTGTTGGGTTCTGGGCCGTTGTTGGAGGGAAGGGTTGCAGGGTACTTGTCTGCATTTCGGAAGCAGTCATTTTGCTGTTGAAATCGATGCTTAGAGGAGAATTTGTGTGGGCTTCTGTTGTGTTCTGGCTTCCAGTTAGGTTGTGGCTGGTAGGATTCCAGGTTCCATTTGTGACCCCGGGATGATGGGTTTGGTTTGCGCTTGTTTGCAAACACAAAGAGAAGATCATCACGGCAGGGAAGGGGAAGCGTGGTTTACTGTGTCTCTTTGTCTTCATCTTCCTATTTAGTCACCTGCAAAAACACAAATCATTGTATTAGCTGAGCAAATGCTAGTTCTTAGGGGTTTACATCAGACTTCTCGGGGAATAGTGGGCAGCAGCCTTTTTCATGAAAAAAATACGTAACTTTGACCTCATTTTTAGGGGATGCTGGAGGAAGAGTTCAGGTATTTGGAATTCTGAAAGAATAGCTTGTCTCAGACTTCTGACAGTTTGAGGTTTATAGAAAATCTATGAAGATTGAAAAAGAACATGGAGCAACGAGAAAGGAAAGTGTTTCCTGCGAACTACTGGGTGACGTAGAGGCAGATGTCGTGGTAGTTCCTCCTCCGTGGTATTCCTCCCCTTTGAAGCTGTCTGGGTTACAACTTGAGGTTCGTCACTTCTGCTTTTACACAGTGAAAGGAGAAACCCCTGTAGAGTTTCCAGATTACTGCTTCTTGCTTTCCTGTGTTCCCCTGGATGTGGGACGTGTCACCATGCTGTAAAGATGGTCAAGTGAAAAACTGCCATCTAAAATGTTCCTGTAAGTGACAGCAGGAGCTTTTTCTAATTGTTTCTGTTTCTCAGCACAGCTGTCTGGAGTATTTCATAAATGCCCAGAAAAATTTTTTTGTTTGATAATTTTTCTGCTTTATGGTACAGAGGGTTATTTATCACAAATGTGCTTCTCACAAACATGCTCCAGATTGTGACATTTTCTTTAAAACGCCCGAGATAATGATGCAGATGATACCATTAGCATGTCCTGTTTCACATTTGTGTACTATTCAAATTTGTACCTCTTGGATTGGTCTGGAGAGCAGGGAACTGATCTCTAGGTCAGTCTGATAGGAGATAACAGCCTCAAAATAATAGTGACAAATGAGACAAGCAGGGCACCCTCGCTGCCGCTGCTTCGCCAGCTGGCACCCATGAGACGTGGGCAGAGTTTGAGGGTTGTGATCCCATCAGTGGCTCTTTCACCTGTCTCTATTAACAGAACAAAATGTTTCCTCTGAATGTTACAGACTGCCTTTGGGTCAAATAGAAGTTCTGTGGAGAATGACCAAAAGTAGCAGTGCGGTTTTTTATAAATACTTGTTCTTGAAACTGTTGCCTTCAAGGTTCAAGCCTCTCTGTATGGGTGTAAGGTTAAGTGATGTTGAAATATTCCAGACAGTGTTTACTTTCATCATAGTCAAAAGCTAGCGTGCCTACCAAAGAACTTAATCTATTCGCTCCCAAAAATCCAAGGGGTGAACCTGCCTGTCGTGCAAAATCCAAACCCCAGTCCTTCGTATTGCTGGGGTCTTCGGGGATCATTAAAGAAGTGACACGCCCGGTATGTAACCGGGGACAAACGATGGGTGTTTCTCTTTACTGGCTAAGGAGCAGCAAAAGTATCTCTTACTTTGCAGTTCACCCCGAAGATAACATCAGGCTCCATTCTTATTGTTACATTAGAAACCATCTCGGTGATCAGCTGCCGCTCGGGAGGGGTTTTATCTTTCTGTGGTACAGGTTGCCTGGAGGATGCCTTTAGCGTACTTTAAAAAGGAAAAAAAGCAAAGCCAGCAAAGCCTCTTTTTGGAAGGAAACCATTTCCCGTGCAGGTTCTGCGTGACCTGCAGAACCGAGCCGCGTCTGCTGGCACTGACGTACTCCAGCTTTCCTTGTCCCTGTCCGGGAGCTGCGCCGCTCCTTCTGCCCGCTCCCTCCAGGGGTAACTGGGGCGTTCCAGACCTGACGGGCTTTTCTGTTGGTAAAGGCTTCGCTTAAAAGCATGAGAGCAAAGGAACTGGTCATTGAAGAGCTGGCTTTGTCTTTTCAGTTCTGCCCTTCGTGCCTCGGTGTTGGGGGGTCTCCTGCTGGTGCCTGGGAGCGACGGAGCTGAGCAGCGACTCACCGCTGACTCCTGGCACTCTGGTGATGGATAACCTTTAACATCACTAAAAATACGGTTATTTCATCTTCCTTAATTCCGTTGGAGATAATATTCTTACAGATTTTTACTGGTTTTGAATGATTTGAACTTCTTTTAAAATACTTTTGCATATAATTTTCTGCTAAATCTGAGGAACTTTGAAGTGAAACTTAGAGCAGGAGAAGGGAAATGCGCACTTACCTTGCCGAGAGGTAGTCAGAGATTCGTGTTCCAGCTGCTTAGTCCTTTAACAATAAAATTTCTTTGTGCAAAGATGCAAGCAACCGTTCAAGTAGGTTTAGACAATGCTGGTATTTTTTAAGCAAATCTGTAACTGAAGTGACGCGCCGTTTAAGTAGAGAACTGAAACCGCAGAGATGACACACTTCCTTTCTGTACCAACTCTACCATGACACGTTAGAGGGGGAAAAACACCAGCCTGCCCAAATTAGCTCTCAGAACAACAGGAAGTAACACAGGGGAAAAAAAAAATCTCTTCAGCAGATACATGTTGTACGTTCATGAAATGTATCCCCTCAGCTGTCTGTGCCCAGGTGGTTTCCTCAGATGCGGTCGGGAGCAGTGCCCCGTACGCTCGGGCTGTGCCTGCTCACAGGAGTTGGCAGCTCTTGCCGTAGCCCCTTGGTTTGCCTTGAGGAGAGGAGTTAATGCCGGCTTGAACAGGGATCGGTATTTCAGAGCACCTCAGATGTTCACGAGCTGCTGTGGAGTTTGATTTTTTTAATTAATTCTTCCTGGTACAATTCTGTCTGCTGTGCGAACTTTGGAGGCTTGGTTTAGGCAGAGATGCTGTCCAGTCTTGTCATACTCAGTGAATCGGCAGAGAACAAAATGTTCTTAATATTTATATATCGTCTGGATGGGATTTTGGGAAGGTGTTCTGTAGACAAATCCTCTGTGCTACTCGGAGGACTGACCATTCTTAGAAACGCTCCGCCAGGCACCAGCGTGTGCTGCAGTGTGTAGCCAACGAAATGAACCTGAGACCCTGTAACAGAGTTGTTCTGTGGCTGCTTAATTAGTCTTAATTAAGATTTCTGAAATAAATGTATTTTTCCACGTATAAAAATAGATATAATTTGAATGTCTACAAGGTTAAAAAAAGTTAGTTTCAGGGACTTAGACTTTACTTTTATTTTTAAAGAAACTCTGAGCTCTTTCCATGTTGATCCAGCTGATGCCCTGTTGATCCCCAGCGTGGATTTTATTTTTCCTTTTAGTTGAGTAAGCCTTCTGCCTGTCTGTCTGGAGGTTCCTTGGCTGTGGTCGGTTGCGTGACACTTCAGAGTGAGGTTGAGTTAAATCCCAAATCAAGCTTCCATCACACTGGGCACTAAACTCGGCTGGAGCGTGAGCCGGGACGGAAGAGCAGAGGTGCCCGTTGGCTGTAGCTGCCGGTCCGGTGTCGCGCTTTGGGTTGATGGTGTTTTTAGAACTCTGAAAGATCAGTCTGGCTTAGTGCAGCGGTCGTATGTGTGAGACACCACTCAAGTGTTTGTAAGCTGGATCTAAAAAGCAAACTCAACGATGTCTGTCTGGTTTTCTTACAGATTCAAGACTGGTCAGATCAACGGCGATTTACTGATATACCACGTACTGCTCACGCTGAAGCCATACTATGCAAAGCCATATGAGATCGTAGTGGACCTCACGCACGCTGGCCCCAGTAACCGCTTTAAAACAGACTTTCTTTCTAAATGGTTTGTAGTTTTTCCCGGCTTTGCTTATGAAAATGTCTCAGCAGTTTTTATTTATAACTGTAACTCTTGGGTCAGAGAATACACCAAATACCATGAGAGGCTCTTGACAGGTTTGAAGGGAAGCAAAAGGCTTATTTTCATAGACTCTCCAGGGAAGCTGGCCGAGCACATCGAACACGACCAGCAGAAGCTCCCAGCAGCTACCTTGGCTTTGGAGGAGGACTTGAAAGTATTTCACAATGCTCTCAAACTGGCTCATAAAGACACCAAAGTTTCTATTAAAGTAAGTCCATTTAATGCTGTTCCCAGTGAATTGTTGTATTTTTATACGGATTTGAATATGATTTTACTGTCTCTTCATTCTCCTCTCCTGTCTTGAAGAGAGATCACTCTGCCTCTTTAGGAAGTATAAGATTTCATACATTTGTTTTTATGAAAATCAGAAGTGTCAGACTTTTTTCTGTTCTCTCTCCAAGGTTGGGTCGACAGCTGTGCAGGTGACCTCAGCAGAAAGAACCCGAGTCCTGGGACAGACGGTGTTTTTAAATGATATCTACTATGCCTCTGAAATAGAGGAGATATGTCTTGTTGATGAGAACCAGTTTACCTTAACCATTGCCAACCAAGGCACACCGCTCACCTTCATGCATCAGGAGTGTGAAGCCATCGTCAGGTCCATCATTCACATACGGACACGGTGGGAGCTGTCCCAACCAGACTCCATCCCCCAGCACACTAAAATCCGTCCCAAGGATGTCCCTGGAACACTACTGAACATAGCGCTGCTCAACCTGGGAAGCTCAGACCCCAGTTTGCGGTACAGATCTTTTAGATTAATACCAACTCTGATCAAAAATGCAAATTCTTCCCAAGATTTTCTTAGCGTTAGCAAATCTTTCTTGAACAAAACATTTTTTCTTTCGCTACAGCTCCATAAAATGTGTCTTTTAATATAAAGACAGATTGGCTTTTCTATAGGCGGAGACAGGCACGCGTACTGGCAGAGTAACTGAAGGCATGTAGGAAGCTTCATTTCTCTTTACAAGGAGCAATACTTCTGCTTTGCAATATACGTTTATTGGGTGCGTTTGATTTTCCTGCTGTTGAGCTGTCTGACAGCCTGGGAGCTGCGCCTCTGGAGCGGGCTCGTGGCCCTCGTCAGGACAGACTGCCTGGGACCGGGCGCTGGCTCGCAGCTGGCCCTTGGCAGCCTCTCTCCCAGCAGCTCAGGTGCACCTGGAAATGTTTCGAATTTCCTGGAGCTGAAAGCTGTTCTGAGAAGTCCAGTACAAAGCCTTTCAAGCGTACTCTTTAACCTCATCAGAAATTGTTTAAAGCAAGTGGAGGAGTAATCTCTTTCATTTCTCTAA